ACCAGAAGGCTGCATTTTACATATTTATATAACTAATTAGCTTAATTTTAAATCAGACTCTTAACTTTTTTGTTGTTAAAATAGTGACTGACATCTCCCATTTACTTGATGATACTCTTTATTCAGATTTGCCAGGCTGCTGGTTGAAAATAGCTACAAGTAACTGACTACAAAATTTGTGTTTTAAAATAAATAAATATTCAATGTCATTCAATGGAAATACCAGAAAAGTTTGTTTTAAATACAAAGGAATTTTGACAATGCACCTGTATTCTATGAATAGAATCAAGAGCATCTAAATACCAGATTCTTCGTTATAGCAATTAAATCTCATCCTCTTACCTTGCCTCTACTTGAAGTGAAATTTTTCTCTTTTCTGAAATCTTATGTTTCTCAACATCAACCAAACTAGCAAGTGAACAATTAACAAACTAGACTGAAGGAACATTCCTTCCGTGTGTCTACAGGCAGCTAATTCTGGGATAAAAAGGGTTAGAAGCTCAAGTTTGAGTACCAAACGTTTAGCTGTGACTTCCTTTTAGTTCAGATTTTTCAATTCCATTTCTTTTGTTTTTAAAAGTTTGCTGCATGCTACCTGAATCTTAAATATAAGTGTATGATTTAAAATATATGTTCAATAACAAGCTTTAAAAATAGTATATTTTATTTAAGAAAAAAATATATTCAGATTAAAAACTTATTTTTTAAAAGAATGAATTTTCCTCTACCTAGTAACTGCTAACCTGCCTAGTTTCTATATAGAGGAGAAAAACAATAAAATTAGAGCATTCCTCATAACAAAATCTTTAGTTGGCTAACAGAAGCTGGAAGTTTTAGTGCAAAAGCAAAGTTTGTCATGTGATTAACAGAAAAAAGTACTAACTATAACACTTTTCAAAAGTTCGTAAGATAATGGAAACCATTCACAGACTTAACATAGTAAGTACTAGAATCCTACATATAAGAGAACGTGTGTGTGTGTGTGCGCGCGCGTAATCCTTTTTTCCTAGCATTCTAGCAAAAAAAGGCACAGTACTTTTCTATGCTCAATGAACCCTTGCATAATACCACACAAAATCAGCTTTAGAAGAATTACAAAAGAATTACAAACCAGAAAGATATTTCTCTGTTATCCATGCTCAACCTAGTCTGTAATGCTTATGATGTCTGGGTAACATGTTATCAATAACAGACTTCAAAAACCATAGCAACTTCTTTTTTAGACCTCTTCAGCATAAGAAAGAAAAAGCTATTAGTCAAACACTTAGGAAAAAATTAAGTTTAATTTTTCAGACATTGAATATCACAGTTATCATAGGTCTTACAAAACTGGAAGCTTTACTTAGTTCTATAACGTCTGAAGACAAGATACACAAGAATTTCAACTTTCATTTCGCCCATTTTATATAGAAAAAATCTGAAACCCAGCCAAGGGTTAAGAGATTCAAAACTTAGTTACAAATATAAAAACAAACAAGTTATTTCATTTTAAAATTTCAAACCATTTTAGGACTTAAGATTAACAACGTTGTATGTGGACACGTGAAACAGAGCAGCTGAAAGTCTTATTTTCAGCCAAACTGTCTGTACATAAATCTATAACGTTTGATCTAAGAGTCCACAAAAATCCAAGTCCCCGTAGACAGCAAACAAGATTGATAGATAGAAAGATAATTTATTCCAGTTTATCAGTTCCTCTACGATTCCTTCCTTTCTCCGCAACTGATTTGAGCCACTAAACAAAGTGAATTTACTGGCAACAAAAAATCTAAAGCTTGCCAGAAAAGCTCTTTCCTGGATAGTCACCAAGAAGAGACATTTGCCTACCGCTAAAGGAGAAAATAGGGAAAAATAAAAAAAAAAAAAAAGCATGATTTTACTCCTTTCCTCTGTATCTTAGCTGAGGGCACAACTGGGAAAAAAAATGCACCTTTTACCTAAGTTTATGGTGAATCAAGAATATTTTTATAACCCTTCATCATTGGTTCAGTGTTATTATTCTGGGCTACAAATAAAACTTTTATGAAGCATTTTTCCTAAGAAATATGATGCTAACATAATAGTTGTCACCTTTTCCTTTCCCAAGTGATCTTGCAAATGCTGCTTGTCCCTTCCCCCTCCCCAAAAGATCTTCACAAACATAAACACCATATTTCACAATCATCCACAGACACATTCAGTCTATTGTCATCCACTGATAAATTTAATAAATCACACTGAAATTTATTATTGAATTAAAAAAAATTAAAAAATAAAGGAAAGAAATCACAAAAACTTGTTTAACTTCTAGGAACTTAAGCCTACTGTCCTAGTTAAACGTTGCTGAATTCTGTTCCATCATGTTCAACTGCTACAAGTTCACTGTCTCAAACAAAAGGGCGAGAATTATCCTTTAGATGACTTCTGTATCCAGACTATTAAAAGTTTCATCAAAAACGGCTCATGGTAAATTAAATCTCATCTACAGCAAACTTTTCTTATCTGAATTTACTAATCAGCCACAATTCCTCTCAATCTGTCTATTAATAGCACTTAAGGAGGCTTCTAGTATTTTAAACAATACATTCTTTTTCTCCGTCTACAGACAAATCAAGCCCTCCAGTCATATACCTAACATTTACAGAGGAAATAGAGCATTAGCCTTAAGGCAGTCAATCCATAGATGGAAAACCTTTAAGAAAGTTTGAAGTTCTACATATGAAGCTCAGAACACACTGATATCTAAAACTAACAACACTGTATACTTGATTGTATTACTGTCAGTCAGCTATCTCCTGCTTACACAGAATTCCCCAACTTCTGGCCTCTCCATTACTTCTCAAATTAAGTCCATTTCAAAATAAAGTCACACTGCTTCTCTATAGCACAGAAGAAAGTACAGATTTTGCTTTCCTTCTTTAAAATCCTACCTTGATCAGAAAGAAAATCCAGCATGGTCTGGAGAAGGAAAGAGAGGTGCCTGACAGATAGAGCAGGATTGCCCATTCTTCTGGAAGCATATACTAGTTCATGAAGCAAACGCATCTGTACTGCAGCCCATCCTCTATGAGTTCCTAAAAAGGAAAGAGAGAGTCATTTACATTTTTTTAAAAGGCTATAAGTCATCAAAAATCACTTGTATTTGATTTTCTTTATATACTATGCAGTAATTTAATGATGCTTGTATCGTTGAACCTATTGACCACAAAATCCAAAGTCTGCATTCAAAACAAAAGAAAACTTAGCATATTTCAGTTTGCTTGAATACTTCAATGTAGAGGAATTTTGGTTTTATATGCTTGTCTATCAGCTCTTAAATTTATCACTAGAATTCAGAAAATCAAGTTAATATTTCCCATGAAGTAAAAACAAAAAGCACAAAATCACTTTGATTTTTAATCAACAGTCTAGAAGGTCTGCAGAACTTCTACAGCCTTCCCTCCCAACACACTCCCAAACTAGCCTTCGCCTTTTCCATAATAAGCCATACCATATTTCTTCCCCCCAAATATTTTCTCTCTTCCTAGACAATCTGTATAGTCCACTTCGCATTTTCTGCCTCCACTCACATAACGTTTCTTTCCAATGTGACTATTGAAGCCATACCTGATTTAAAAAAAAATAAATAAATTTTAAATATACATACAGCAGGTTGTCTACGTGCCTGCTACAGTCAATGGAAATGCCATAAACACAACTTAAAGAGCCTGGAAAATATCAACCAGCGGGTTGGCCAGCTCACTATTTCCATATGCTTCACTGGCTGAATTGACTAGATAGCCATTGACTATAAAGGAACTAAGTAACCTAGCACATATGGAAACACTTAAATTTACAAGATTACCATCTATTGTTGGGATTCCAATTTGAAGTTAATGTATTTTCACAAAAGAGAGAAGAATCTACTGGCTGCAGTCCATTCATATTCAAATCAGCCCAGAGAGTCTTCTTACTAGCGAACCCCCACCTCCTTTCCATTGACATATGCCCAGCCCATAGCTTGCTACCTTTGTTCCCACAGCTACATTTAGTGAATACCAGAAAAATGCTACTATGCAAAAAGAACATAACTTTCAGGGTAACATGGGATGGTTTACTCAAAAGGAGTTCCCAAGCAGCATATTAGCTGGCTTTTCTTTTGGAGGAAAAATACAGCACAGTATATTAAAATAAAAACAGCTTTAAAAATTATTACCTTATATTCAGCTTCAGATAACATTAATACCAAACTATAATTATTAAAAATTGTTCAAAACCAGCTTGCTTAAAGAAGGTCAGTAGACTGCATATAACTTACAGAAAGTGAATGCAGTATTTAACAACTACAAGAACAGTCATGTGTTGTTAAGGGTTTTTTTTGTTCTGCTTTTTTATAGATGCAATAAAATAGTAACTCGAATGATACACTGCATCTAAAAACTGCTGGAGTGCTCTTAACCAAATGTCAGTCTTGCAGATAATATTACATTGATTTAATTGGTGGTAAAACGTGGTATTATATTTGATATTATAGATACAAGTATAGATATAGCTATAGATATATATGGGTGGGGGTGTGTGTATATATATATATATATACACATATATATATATGTACATGCACATCTGTGCCTGTCAGCATCAAAAATATAAAAACTAAAAACATTTGAAAGACTCTTTCATTCTTTGACTATAAGCCAACAACAAATATCAAAAGAAATACAACTTCTGAGACACAAGATGAAGGCACTTAATTGAAAAATACTCAAAAATAAAACATGACTTCTTCGTACCGAGAAGTTTATAATTAAACACAAAGGCATATTTTTGAAAGACAGTAGAAGGGAAGCCCTCATTAATAAAGCGCTGATAACTATTCCCTGCAAGGAGAGGAATACAGCAACACATTCAGCAGCATTTCTCATCAGAATTTTGAAATTATTGAAAATAACACTAACAAAAGGTAAAACTGCTATTGTACAAGAACAGCTCTACTTGCTGCAATTCGTTTCAGATAGGTAAAGGATTTTGTTCTCATTTGAAATATCTCAAGGAACTTGAAAAAGTTACAGAAAGCCAGTTGAGTGTCCTAGTATGCTAGTCCCTTCCACAGCCACTCACCTTTGCTGAAATCTTTCGGATCCAGCGACAGACTATAGCCAGGGAGAGTTTCCAAAAGCAATTTGTAGCAGGCCCTCCAACCAGGCTCTGGTATGCTAGGTGCAACACACTGCATTGCTGCTACGCGCTTGAAAAAAGCAGACTTTCGGTGAAAACCAATGCGCTCATACAGCTCAGAAAGAATGCTGTAACGTTGGATTTTTTCTTCTTCTGAAAGCTGAAATTTAAAGGGGAAAGAAAAGAATTGTTTTTATCAAATAAAATCTTGAAGAGCATACTAGAGTAAAAAGCAACAGGAAAAAAATGTAGTAGACATTCTCCAACTTTACAGAAAGCTAGTGATTTTACATTCAGCTAGTATTAAAATCTCCTACCGCCAGGAAAACTTAAACTTGCTTCAAGTTCAACAACTAACAAGAGCACCAAATATAGCTTTCTTTATCAAATTTATCTGTCAGCAGTGGTAACAAGTAGATAGTCAAAATACTCAATAACAGCTAAAAATCCCCCATTTTATGGAATATATTTAGGGAGATAGTCCTATGTGCAATAGGAACTCAAAAACACATGACGTGCAAAAACTACTGATTTACCAAATTAGAGGTTTTCAACCCTTTAAGAGCAAACATACTAGTTAATCTTGAAATCTCAGGCTATGAAAGCAAGGAAACTGTTCTCCCAACCTTATGTGTCTCCAACCTTGTAAACTACGAAATATTAATTTCATGATTCTATGCAGATTGCCAAACAGTGAGGAAGAATTTAGTGAAAGGCCTAGATAGGTTTAAAGTTGAAATAAGCTTGGTGAGAAACTACTGACATACACTTCTTCAGCTTAGCCATATTGTGGCACAAGTCGTAAGGAATCACTGTTTCCTCCTTGGTTTGAATGCCAATCTTACTTTGAAAACAGCCAAGAAACTTTCTCAGGAAGTCTCAAAGCTACCAGGTACTTCAATTCTACATCCCAGGAACAAGCAACAGAGTTCTGAAAGCAGATCAATGCTGACACCTAGTGCACAATATAGAGCGTGCACATCCAAGGATATTATTTTAAATTACCAAGAATTCTTCTGGAAAATACATGAGTAGCTTTCAAGGCATTTAAAATAACAAACTTGACATAAAAATTGCACTCAAAGAGAGAAAGCATTTCCGTAACTCATTCTTCAAGACTGAAAATATCAATCAGTGAATTCTGTCTGTCTAACTTCAGATACTTTCAGTCTTGTAAACTCAGAGGATGATCCCAGCCACAAGTAATAACATTGTGATAAATAATTAGTTAAGAACATAGGCATTTAACCTAGGAAAGATGGGGGAAGGGGAGCGTTATAGAGACAGGGTAGTCAGTAAAACACCACTCAAGTCAGGATGCCTCCAGCGGGCACATGAAGCCAGGGGAGACAGTATGGGACACGGCTATGGAGGGTCCTCTCGCAACTCTCCTGAGAAACCTGCATGTTCGATTGCCTCTCCGAGATGCCTGTACACCAATGCACACACCATGGGGAATAAGCAGGAAGAATTAGAGATCTGTGTGCGGTTGCAGGGCCGTGATCTCATTGCAGTTACAGAGACATGGTGGGAGAGCTCACATGACTGGAATGCTGCCATGGATGGCTACGTGCTTTTTAGGAAAGACGGGCCAGGACGGCGAGGTGGTGGAGTTGCCCTTTATGTGAGGGAGCAACTAGAACGTGTGGAGCTCTGCCTCGGGGTGGATGAAGAGCAAGTGGAGAGCCTATAGGTAAGGACTCAAGGGCAGGCTAACGTGCGTGACACGGTGGTGGGGGTTTACTACAGGCCACCTGATCAGGAAGGGGAAGTGGATGAGGCCTTCTACCGACAGCTGGAAGCAGCCTCACGATCACAGGCCCTGGTTCTCATGGGGCATTTCAACCGCCCTGACATCTGCTGGGAAGACAGCACAGCTAGGCACAAACAGTCAAAGAGGTTCCTGCAGAGCAGTGATGATAATTTCTTGACCCAGGTGGTGGAGATGCCAACGAGGAGAGGTGCGCTGCTAGACCTTGTACTAA